AACATCCCACTCATATTTTTCTGAATTTTCTGATTGCCCTTCTCCCCTAGAACAATCTTAACACACTTGTAAATTTTTTTTTTTGAGAGGGAGTCTCACTGTTGTCACCCAGGCTGGAGTGCAATGACGCGATCTCAGCTCACTGCAACCTCCGCCTCCCGGGTTCAAGTGATTCTCCTGTCTCAGCCTCCCAAGTAGCTGGGATTACAGGTACCCACCATCACGTCTGGCTAATTTTTGTATTTTTAGTAGAGACAGGGTTTCACCATGTTGGCCAGGCTGGTCTCAAACTCCTGACCTCAGGTGATCCACCCGCCTCAGCCTCCCAAAGTGCTGGGATTACAGGTGTGAGGTAATCCTCCCAGGCATCTGATCCATACTTGTAATTTTTTTTAATTTTTCGAGACAGGGTTTCACCATGTTGGCCAGGCTGGTCTCAAACTCCTGACCTCAGGTGATCCACCCGCCTCAGCCTCCCAAAGTGCTGGGATTACAGGTGTGAGGTAATCCTCCCAGGCATCTGATCCATACTTGTAATTTTTTTTAATTTTTCAAAAAAAAATTATTGAGCTGGGATCTCCCTATGCTGCCCAGGCTGGTTCGAACTCCTAGGCTCAAGTGATCCTCCTGCCTCAGCCTCCCGAAGTGCTGGGATTACAGGGGTGACCTACCGCACCTGGCCAACACTTACAATTTAAATACACGGAAAGGCATGGACTAAAACTGAATCAAGTGGGGCCTGATTTGACTGCTATTGCATTTCACGGTGTGAGGGGACAACAGCTTCTCCAGGTGTAACAAGGACTCATTTGGCTCCACGGCCTCTCACACAGTGCAAGGGGAGCTCAGACCTGAAACCTTCTCACCCAAGGCCCTGGGCTGGTAGTACAGCAGTAAAGTCTGGCTGCCCAGGCAGAAGACGCATCAGACACTTCCTGTTTTTCTTCCTTTAGGGTGAGTTTAGGTACTAGACTCTTCTGTCTACCCTCAACTCAATATGGTTTATCTGAGGTATTTCTTGTTTTTCCCTGTGCTTTTCTTGAGAGAGAAAGAACCACTGGAAATCTGCTTAGAGATCACTGAAACCAAGTTCCTGAATAAATCACATAATAAATATAACCACCACCACAGCCATTTATTAAGTGCTTGCCAGGCACTGTGCTAAAGCTTTACAAACATTGTTTCCGTTACTCCAACAACCCTGAGGTAGATATTTTCAACATGCCTCCCTCCACCCATGTCATTATAGTTGAGGAAACTGAGGCTCAGAGAGGTTAAGTAAATCAACCAAGGTCAAACCCAGCTGGAAAGCAGTGAAGCTATAAATTCGAACCAACTATATCTGACTCCAAAATCCATGCCTTTAAACACTGTCCTAGATTGTTTACCATTGAAAGTTAAAGCCACATGCTCCTTCCCAAAATATGAGAGAAAAGATTTTAAGTAGGAAAGCAGGGGGGGAGCCCATATGTAAACCGTTTAATCAGCTATGGGACTCAAACTCTTGGAGGAGTGTAGAGATAGTCTGGGTATAAGCTGACCACTGGGTCCTCTCATCTCTCCAGCTGCCAGGGCCTTTCTCATTAAGATCTCTACTCCTCACACCTGACTACGCAATACACTGTTTCCCTTTCAGCAACTACTGGGATGCAGAGGTCAGGCACATTTGGTGACACAGAGCCAAAGACACCTGAGAGAAATTAGGAGACATTCAAAAAAGTCCATCACCCCTGAGCTACTGGTCCCTAAGGCACACAGATGCATTTAGATGGAAATCCTCCAAGAAGGGGACATGTTACATATGTCATGTTTGATGCCCATCACCACCCTGCAAAGGGGATATTGGTATCTCCTTCGGACAGCTCAGTTCTTCCGCACTAGCTTCCCAGGCCTGGTGCCATTCTCACAAAGTCTCTGCAGCAACCACTGCACCTCTCCCCTCAACTGGCTCTCTACTACTCTCTAGGTGCCCACCCCTAACCCATCTCCAGAGGCCTCACTAACCACAGGCCCACAGGCCTCAAAACTTTCAGTTTCTGAGGTTTTGCCCAACAGAAATGCCCTCAAAGTGCTCAGCAAGGCTCCATTCATCCATGACCTATGAGGATTAAACCGAGATGGCTGAAGACAAGCAGAAGGGGCTACCACAGTGAGACAAGCTGAACCAGGATGTACAGAACTGACAACAGAAGGGCAAGAACACACAGCAGACACAAAACAAGAGGAGCAGCCATGGGCAAAATAAACAGAGCTGTCAAAAATCAGAAAAGGGAGATGGCCCTAAGATAAACAGGGATGACCAGAGAGGGATCCTAAAGACAAGTCTATTCAACACTTGCAGCCATGGAGTTTCTGAGGGAAGGACAACTGTTTAGGAAAAAGGGTCTTGGTAAGGAGGCCGCAGGCAGGGGACAGCTGAATAAGGGAAACTGCAGGCAGCTCTCAGAGCGACACTGGAATATCCCTTTAGAGCCAGCAGTTTGAGAAGACATCAGAGAAGTATGCAGGGAGTGGAAGACAAGCAGCTGGAGGTCTCAAAGGGGAGTAAGACACCAGCTGAAAGGCCAGACTATGGAGCCCCGAGCTACTTCTGGGCATACCTCATCATCTACCCCATCTGGGTCAAACTGGTCCCTGAGGGTCATTCCCTGCAGCCCCTGCTAAATTCTGTACGAGATTTTGAAGGGTGGAAGAACCAGAGGTAGGGAACCTACTGAGAGGTGAGACACAGCCCCATTTTTGGGAAGTTCCCATTCTGAAAGAGAGAACCACCAACCCCCAGTCCTTCATCCTTGAGGGATCCTCTCATCTAAGGCACTCACTGCATTCAAGTCACAAAACTGAGGAACAAATACTAGTGTAAATTAATACTGTCCTTGAAGTTTGAAAGGACAGCAGAAGATGAGAAGTAACACGGAGACATGGGAAGAGCCAAGGTGGGCTGCTCCACACCTGAAGACTCATCCTATTACTGAACCTCAGCACTGTTCACACATCTGGGCCAAAGGCCTCAAAGCCCTCCACACAGCCACAGCTGCACTGATGTGGGGTTGTGGGGACATCAATGTTGCTAGGAAGCGTACAGAGGCCCTCTAAGGTGAGCCCAGAGGCTTTCAGGAGGCTGGGTAGAGCTTTGCTCTCTACTGGTTTCCTCCTCTCTCAACAGTCCCTAATCTTGTCCACACAGGGTGCACAATATACATGGGTGGCCTTATAACCTCTGGTTGCTTCATGTAATTTCTTCTGCAACTAAGCAGAAGCTCCTGGGATTTGATAAGGACGAGTTTTTCCTCATGCCCTACAGTTGCTGGAATGTGACAAATACTTGTCACAGGTGGGCTATCAGGGGTATTGACTATTACAAAAACATTTTCCACAAATGGCAAACACATGTCAAAACTTTTTCATTGTTATTCTTTGCCTTATAGCTTGTACTTGACATCCATCTATTTCTATCTTTGTTGGCTCATGCCCAAAGATGTCTGTTCCTATATCCATCTCAGGCTGGCGACTGGGTCCCGAGTTTTTGTTATGAAATACAAGCTCTGCCCACTTGTGGCAATACTCAAAGAGGATGTAGCCCAGGAGTCTCTGGGGGCAGAGGGAGGGAGTGTCTCCCCATACTGGGCTGGCCCACTGATAAGGATCCTTCCCCTCTCTGTCTCCTAACAGATTCGGATTAATGATCGCTCATTCCTAATTGTCAAATTTCTTTTCCTTCATCCTGTGTCTAATCACCAGTGACAGAAACCATTACGCAAATGAGAGCAGACGACTTCCCCCAACTGTTCACGTTGGTAAAAACCTTGTAATTTAGAGCTCTGATTTGTAGGGGAAGCTGGTCTCCCCCAGGCATCCTGGGCATCTGCTCAACTGATGCCCAGAACAGCCCCTCCTCCATCCCCAGAACTCCAACCCCCCAACAAATATTTGACTTTATAAAACACTAGTTTTCTCTGTACCTGCTGGTGTGAGTAGATAAGCCTGCAGCGTGGCTGACCTCTATACACGCTCAAACCCCCACCTTCCCTTGCTGTATGTGTGTCCCACACTGCCAGCTAGGATGGAGGTAAACAACTACAGCAGAAATGTTTCCTCTGTGGCAAGCAGAATTTGAGCCTAAACATCCCTCATCAAGGGAAACCTCATCCTTTCCTTGGGGGGAAGCAGCAGCAGCAGAATATGAACCAAGACTCTTAGTGCTATCTAGAACTACAGTTTCAGTTCTACAGATGCAAAAGCATGCTGGGAGGAGTTATGGGTCTATTCAAGGACACACAAGTAATGCAATTAGAGACAGAACTCAGTTCCCTCCACAGCATCTTCTAGTACTAACTCATAATATGGCTTCCCAGGCAGTTTTTCCAAGACGTTGTTAGCAGGAGACCAGAAGAACTTTTACCCTGAACTGTATATTCTGCACCATCTTGGGCTGGATCTGCCTTCAGATACTGCCCAGTGGGGTGGTATCTTGAGGACAGAACCTGTGGTACAAGGAGGGAGGTAAGGAAGGAAAATCAACAGTTTGGTTGAAAGGAAGGAGCAAGGGGTTTGCAGCCAAACAGTGCTAAGTTACAACTGATTGTCACTAATCACCTAATCTCTCTGAGTCCATTTCTTCATCTGTAAGTGAGAATACCTACCTTGCAGGATAGTGAGGAACAAAGATAAAAGCACTAGGCACGTATTAGATGTCTAAAAATCAGGATCACTCTTGTATTACCCAAGGATCAAGGCCAATCCTGTGAAGATTCCAAGATGAGCCTTCTCCCTCCCACCCCTCGGCCACCTTAGGTGAGACCTGTGTCAGCACAGAACCCAGCAAGGACCAGCCGAGTGCATGCCTCCTTGACATATCACCCACACCTTTGAGGGCTGAGCCAGGAATACAGCAGACCTGCTGAGAACGAAAACAATCTACTATCTTTCCAAGTGTGACTGTGGCACCACTCCTGTGCTCCTCTTTCCCAAAAGAAGTGGAGGGATGGAGATCACTACAATCACATTTCCCAGCATTGACTATATTTGAAAGAGCTACACTTCAGAAGATACCATGTCTTCACATCCACACTGCATCAGAGAACCCCAGAATGGGGTACTAAAAATAAACACCCCTCCCCAAAAAGCACACTCAGGCATGCACACGCATACACACGCATCCTCTCAGTTAGTTCATCAGTGCACTATAAACTGAGCTTCAGGGGTGAGAGCCAGAGCTCAGATGCTGGAAGTAAACCTTTGGCAAAAAAAAAAGGAAAAAGAAAAGAAAAGAAAACCAGAGACCTTCCAACTCCTCTTCCCTTCCAGAGAGAAAAGGAAGACAGGAGCAGAGGTGAGGAGACACAGGGCCACCACACTGCCCAATCCCAGAGGCCCCACTCCCACTGAATAGATGAGAATGATCGCCCTTCAAGTTGTGCAATCACAGCTGCCCACCTGTAAGCTGCAGCTCTGAGAGGGGTTCCCATGAGTAGCTCCTAACAGAAAAGGAAATTCAACTTCCATGCTCTACCAGTTGCCCTGACTACTGAGGGTGTTGTGGCACATTACAATGGCGTCTGGCAGAGGAGCTGGCTTTAAGAGGCAAGCCTATGTGTTTGCCCGTGCCCTGAGGTGGATCACAGGTAGTGAGTGAGCTGCCTGGGCTTGACCCCATTTCATCTATTCAGCCAGGAAGCTCAACAGGAGTAAAGGATATGGCCTGGGCAGGGAGCATTGTAGGGCCTGGAGGCTCTAGCCAGTTAGCCTCGGGCAGGCTGCAGTGAGACCTGGCTAACATACGATGGCTAAAATCCAAGTATAAAAGCTTAGGATAGGTCAGGCAGTACTTCCCAGGGGCTCACACTGTACTGTCCCACTGGAAAAGGTAAGCAGTGGAGAACCTTGGTAAGTAGGGAGGCTGGCCAGTGTGGATACACACACACACACACACACACACAAAAACACACAGAGGCTTGCACCCGTAGTGTGGATACACACACACAGAGAGAGACACACACACACACACACACACACACACACAGGCTTGCACTCCTAGAACCTAGAGAAGCCACAGCTAGGAGAACTCCCTTGGTACCCAGCATAGGGGCAAGAGCTGGTGCTGAAAGAGAGAAATTGTACGTGTCTGTAATTTGGAACTTATGCACAATCATTGGTTCTTATGTCCCAAGATCCTTTTATGTATGGCTTGAGCTTGTAGGCCCAGTTGGAACCCTATCTAATCCTCTCTCACAGGAAGGCTATCTAGGCTCTCAAAGGCAAGCCTCCTCTCTCTTTCACCCCATTAGTCCCAGTAGCCATTCCCACACCACCTAGAGCATGACTATACAAAAACTGTCAGGAGGCAGACTGACCTAATGGTCAGACTAGCTCTGGCCCTGCAGCCCAGATGCAGTGGGGAGTCCAAGAGCATCTCCTCTCTCTCTCCCAGGCTGAGGCACTGAGGTTGCAGGAGATAGGGCTGAGAGCCAGAAGTGACAGCCTGACCCAAAAGGAACAGGGAACAGATACATACATGCGTGTGCATGCACACACACGCACACACATTCCGAAGTGGACAGACTAACATACACACAGACGTGATGACAATCAAAAGCTGGGACTCCACACACTGAATGCAGGACTTTAGGCGGGGGGCAGAGACAGAAGGTGCTGGGGCACAAGAGGCAAGGGTATGAAGTTCCTCCAAATAGGAGTGGAGTGTCAACTGCCCTGCCTCGCCCCGAACACCTGCCTCCTGGGCCATGGCAAGAGTCCAGTCCATTAAGTGCAGCGTGCAATACTAGCGCTTGGAGTCTCCTGTCCTCATCAATGAAGCGGTGTGGACGGGATAGCAGTCACCTGGCAGGAGGCCTTGACCCCCGGCAGGCTAGTTGTATCGGCCCTTGATCATTGTGTTCAACAAGGGCCCCACCTGTAAAGAAACATTAGGAGCCAATCAGAACTGGCCGTTCCCTGGCCCTGGAATTGGACAGGGTGTGTCTGGAGATATCAGATGTCCAGCCAAGGACAGAGACAATGCTTTCATACAATCTTGTGAATCCTCTAATCACCTATCTTCCTGAAGGCCAACCCAGTATTCTGGGACATAACCTTTTCCTCAGGGGTCCATCTTGTACTATTATTCTTCCCTCTCACAACACCCTGTCTCTTACTGTAATCAGCCCCAAACGGACAGAAATGGTCAGAGGAGCTAATAATCCCCACACATCCAAGAGCGTCTGCATGTTTCTCCAGAATGTTAACTGCCTCCATATCCTCAAAAAACTATCACCTGCAATTGGGGCTGATGCTATCTCCCAACACCAGAGGTGTCTGCGGATGCTGAGCTTACCTGCAAGAGGGAGGCAAGAACCCTACAACTACAAACCTCCCCCATTTACCCAAAGGGCCACTGGCACACCTGTGTGGGAAGCAGGTCTCTCAACATTACCTACAGCAGCCCTGGCACAGCTGGGAAAGTGCAAGGAGATGCTTTAGTGCTCGCTTCCTGTTCCAGAAGAATCCCTTCAGGGGGTTCCCAGATGGTGCACAAGCCCCATGGGGAACATTACTACTAGCATGGAACTAATTATAATTGATCCGCCAGTCAAGCCCAGCTATCACCAGAAAACAAGAATTTTTCTGAACATACCCATAACCTCTATGGAGACAAGAGGACACCAGATACTGAAACACAGAAGCTGTAAAGAATGTCACTCCGATCCTGACTTTCCTTGGTCAACCAACCCACTGAGCCACCTTGGGGCGGTCACATACCTCTTGTGGGTTCCCCAAGGCCTCTCCAAGCATCTTCTCAATGTTTCTCATTATGGCCACTTTCTGATGGGCTTTGAGAGGATATTCAATTCTCTTAGGGGTGGGAGCCCCCTACAAAGGAAGCAGTAGCTCAGGAAATGCCTTCAGCAGCAGGCGTCAGTGTCACTCTACTGTTCTTAGTACCATCCTCCCTTCTAAGAAACCCAATTCTTGCTGGGCACGGTGGCTTAGGCCTGTAATCCCAGCACTTTGGGAGGCTAAGGCGGGTGGATCACTTGAGGTCAGGAGTTTGAGACCAGCCTGGCCAACATGGTGAAACCCCATCTCTACTAAAAATACAAAAATTAGCCGGGCATGGTGGCGTGTGCCTGTAGTCCCAACTATTCAGGAGACTGAGGCAGGAGAATCACCTGAACCCAGGAGACAGAAGTTACAGTGAGCTGAGATCGCACCACTGCACTCCAGCCTGGGTGACAGAGCAAGACTGTGTCTCAAAAAATATATTCAAAAAAAAGAAACCCAATTCAATCCTATCCCTCTTCATCTCTCCAGACACCTGAGAATCACTTCCAGGGATAATCAACCATCCCATCCAAAATCATTTATTATACCTACCTCACCCAAGAGCCAGTTCCATCTGGAAAAAACAAAAAAAGTAAACCATATTCACCTTATACCAGAAGTTCACAGTGATGGTAATCCCCCCATTTAGTAATGACTCTATGTGATGCCACCTGCAAGAAAACAAACAGGCTTCTGTTTACTACTGATACTTTTCGGCGGGGGGTGAGGAGGTGGAGTGTTGGGGCGTGGGGGACAGGCTGAAAAACTAGGTAGAGTGCAGTTAAGGAAAACAGTGAAGATAATATCTTTACACTCATCCTGTGAAAAAACACACACTGGGGGGTTAGAGGTACTGGTGTTCAGTCTGTAAATACCAAAGAGCCAAGAACAATTTATCTAGGCTCAAGCCTCTGGAACCTTTTTGGACTTGAAGAATTCTCATCCTGTCCTAGAGATAGGGCTATCACTCCCCCCACTACCTCCCACAGGTTCAGTACGCTCACATCTGGATATGCCAACCTTCCTATGGACCACATAAAACCAATCATGCCATAACTCAGAAGGGACACAGACAAGGCTTTCCAGGGAATGGAAAAGAAAGCTCCCAAGAAGCCCCCAGCCCTAGCCCCCTTCTCACCAGTACATTGGGATGTAAAGAACATCACCAGGGCCAACCACTGTTTCGTAACCAACCACATTTTGGAAATTAGGGAACCTCTCGTAGTCGGGATTGTCAAAGTCCACCTAAGAGGTTCAAAAGAAAGAAAAAAAAAAGTCAATCACCAAATCTTTATCAGTAAAACTACTATGTGCCAGTTTGGCAGTAAAAACAAACAAAAAAAGATGCCTTAAGAAAAGTCTTTAGAATTTATATCCAGCAGAAGACATAATGCACATTAAACTCTGAGAGAAAACAATACAAGACAGTCCATGTTTGAATGTTAAGTGACAAAGCAGCCTAGGCTTCAGTGCTCCTGAGATCAGACGACCCACAGCCGAGAATATGACAAATTAGGAATTGTCCTCCACCCAAACCTTCAGAAACTTTCTCCCAAAAACATATTCTAACCAGCAAAGACTCCTACATGAAGTAGCTAGACAGCTTTCTGAAGAAAGGAAAGGATATCTTTGGCTGGCCACAGTTAGATCCAGGAAATATATTAAACCACATAGCTCAGTTTTATTCACCCTTCTGCTTATCAAAAAGGATTTTTGATGCTTATCAAATAGAAACAGCATCCATGACAAAAGCAAACAATGATTAAATCCAATGGAGATATACACATTTTGTTCCATGAACTTATAAGCCAATCAGAGTAACCAGAGTCCATCACCATCAATGACAGGGTCTGTCCCGAGAATTAGCTCTGTGAGGCTAGTTATACTTACGAACGAACATCTGGTGGCCACTCCAGGGAGCCTGGAATTTGTGAGCTACAATGAAATTATCCTCTTGGTGTGTTAAAGCAAGAATAGCCTGTAATCCAAACCTGGCATATCACTACAGGGAAGGGGAAACACATTCCAGCCTAGGCATTTCTAGAATCTAGAGTTCTATACCCTTCTCAAGACCACACAAGCTCACCTGGCTCTGTCTGTCACATGGGTGATGAACAGGGTATGGGTAGAGGCACTCAAACTGATCCGGAGGAAATAAGATGCATCGTTTGTAACCTTTTATTTGAGCAAAAAAGTTCTGCTGCTCATCATAATGAGCAGGTGTCACATTTCCTGTAAGAAGAAAGGCATTTTCTTATGCAGAGCAGTGGTTCTATTGCACGAGCTGGAATATAGGACGCAGTGCTAGAGAGAAATCCAGCCTGCCCTCCCAGCTAAGAGTTCCAAATCAAAATTTAGGCAGAATCAGGGAAATTCCAATTACAACTCTCAGAAAATTAGGTGTTAAGCATGTATGGTAATAACTCTAGCAAACATCACTGGTTAAGGGTCCACTATCAGCTAAGTCAGCTTCCCTAAATGAAGGCTGCTGCCCTTACTGGAAGCAAGAGCACATCAAAATGATACTCAAAAATCAGGTAGGGTAATCAAACGTGTATACGTGTACTCTTCCTGACTATGGGAAGAATTCAAGGGAAGCAAAACAGAAATGACTAGTATCAACAACATACATGTGAGGAGTTAACCAGTCATTCTAAGTTTAATGATTATGTAGTTCTGTATTTACTTAGGGTAGCTCTGTGGAACTTAAAGACTCTCAACCTTTCCTCCCACTTCAATACACCTAAGGGACGCAACACTTGTTTTTTTAAGATACGGGGTTTCACCATGTTGCCCAGGCTGGTCTCCAACTTCTAGGCTCAAGGGACCTGTCCGCCTCAGCCTCCCAAAGTGTTAAGATTACAGGCGTGAGCCACCACATCCAGCCAAGACAACACTTCTTAGAGCAACACTGGGGCTCACTGGTGCAAGTGATTTTTGTTGGAGGGAAGAATATCAGACGACTGAAGAGAGTGTTGTATAATTTAAATATAGCACATTATTTTAAATGCCAACTTGAATTGGTTGTGCCCTAGTGTATGTTCCATCTACTCCTTTATAACTAGTACCATGTCTGCTGTTTGGCCTTTGCATAGTCCATGAGTGGAACACACACACTTTTGCAGGGCACGGAATTTAGAAAATATTCCCCAGCTCTGTCTGAGTATGCCAAGACAGATGCTTTCTTAAGTGATGAAAGTCCACATGCATCCTCAAAGGAGACTTGCTCTCTCATCTCTACCTGAGGGATCCACTTCCATGCACCCTACCACAGGAAACGCAGGCAACAGAAAGACATAAGGGTCAAGTAAACTGCCGGGCACAGTGGCTTACGCCTGTAATGCTAGCACTTTGGGAGGGCGAGGCAGGTGGATCACGAGGTCAGGAGATCAAGACCATCCTGGCTAACACGGTGAAATCCCGTCTCTACTAAAAATATAAAAAAATTAGCCTGGCGTGGTGACGGGCGCCTATAGTCCCGGCTACTCGGGAGGCTGAGGCAGAAGAATGGCGTGAACCGGGAGCTGGAGGTTGCAGTGAGCCGAGATCATGCCACTGCACTCCAGCCTGGGCGACAGAGCAAGACTCTGT